GGAGAGCCGGACAAAAAAAATAGGTGGAGAGAAATTTTACCTCTTTAATATTAGATAGATATAAATATAGATAGAAAAGCAAGGCGGCCTTCACTATTCATGAAAGTATAACCGTACTTGGCCAAAACATTGGTTTTGAACAATCCATAGTACTTGACCGAACTTGACCATAGGTTAGTAAACAAAGAAAAAAGTACAACACTAGGTGGAGCCTCGGTCCTAGATTGGTCGACACCAACCAAACTCGGCGAAGACTTCCAACGCCACGGTCTTGCAGCATGACTAAAAGCAGGAAAAAGATGGCTTTGGAAAGGACAGGACAAGGATTAAAAGCAGCAAGTGGTGCCTAGCTCCATCCAGAATATAAGCACCATGTCTACATAGCCGGGTTGCCTATCCAAAGAGTTGCTGCACGTCTGCAAACATACAATCACCATGGTGATGCTCCTCATCAAGCCTCTCTTGCGCATGCTCGCCTTCTCCCTCATTTGCCTCGCCACAAACGCAGCCCATGGAGACGGAGCAAACGCTCCCCACATCCCCGAATCCGACCAGCTCGCGCTCATGTCATTCAAGTCCCTTGTGAGGAGTGACCCATTGCGAGCCCTAGCGTCGTGGGGCAACATGTCCATTCCCATGTGCCGGTGGCGCGGCGTGGCGTGTGGCTTGAGGGGACATCGCCGGGGCCATGTGGTGGCTCTGGACCTCCCCGAGCTCAACCTGACTGGCACCATCACCCCTGCGCTGGGAAACCTCACTTACTTGAGGCGACTCAATCTTTCATCGAATGGCTTCCAAGGGATCCTGCCTCCGGAGCTGGGTAATATCCATGACCTTGAGACTCTGCAACTTACCTACAACTCCCTCTCTGGGCAGATTCCACCGTCACTCTCAAACTGTAGCCACCTGGTAGAAATTTCTCTCGACAGTAACAATTTCCATGGGGTAGTACCCAGTGAGTTCAGCTCTTTGCGTGATCTGCAGGTACTCAGTCTTGGCAAAAATTGGCTTACAGGAAGAATCCCTTCCACCATTGCCAGCCTTGTAAACCTGAAAAAACTAGTCCTAAGATATAACAACATGACCGGAGAAATCCCGACAGAGATAGGCAGCCTTGCCAACCTCAACGTGCTGAACCTGGGTGCAAATCAGTTCTCAGGAATGATCCCCGGATCACTGGGAAACCTCTCAGCGTTGATGAGTCTTTATGCTTTCAAAAATAGTTTTGAAGGAAGCATTCCACCACCACTACAAAACCTCTCGTCTCTTACTGAACTCGGATTGGGGGGAAACAAACTCCAAGGAACCATCCCTTCTTGGTTAGGCAACCTCTCTTCACTAGTATTCCTAGATCTTGAAGAAAATGGTCTAGTTGGTCAGATCCCAGAATCATTAGGAAATCTTGAGATGCTTGAACACCTTTCTGTCGCAAGAAACAATCTTTCAGGTTCCATACCTGGTGCGCTTGGCAACCTCCATGCCCTCACTTTACTTGATCTAGTGAACAATGAACTAGAAGGCCCTTTGCCCCCTTTGATGTTCAATAATCTTTCCTCTCTCGAAGTTCTAGATGTAGAGTACAACAACTTGAATGGGACTTTTCCACCTAATATTGGAAGCAACCTTCCGAAATTGAACCATTTTCTTGTATCAAACAATCTATTTCAAGGCATGCTCCCCGCATCCCTTTGCAACACCTCCATGCTTCAATATATTCTAACACTAGAAAACTTCCTATCGGGAACGATTCCAGAATGCTTAGGAGCTCACCAAAGGAGGCTGTCTGGAGTGTCAATTGCTTCGAATCAGTTTGAAGCAACAAATGATGCTGATTGGGGCTTCCTGGCTAGTCTGACCAATTGTAGCAACCTGGTTGCATTAGATGTTAGCGAGAATAATCTCCATGGCGTGCTGCCGGCTTCAATTGGTAATCTCTCAACACAGCTGGAGTATCTCAGCATGGCATACAACAATATAACTGGAACAATAACAGAAGGAATCGGTAACCTCATCAACTTGCAAACATTTTACATGCCTCATAACATTCTCATAGGTGCTATTCCGGCATCCCTCGGCAACCTCAATAAGTTGTCTGAATTATTTCTGTACAATAATGCCTTGTCTGGACCCATGCCAGTGACTCTTGGCAATCTTACACAACTTACTGAACTTCTCCTCAGTACAAATGCTATAAGTGGACCTATACCATCTAGTCTCAGCCATTGTCCTTTAGAAGTATTGGATCTTTCTCACAACAATCTTTCTGGTCCGACACCTAAAGAACTCTTTTCCATATCAACCTTGTCGAGTTTCATTAACATTTCTCATAATTCCTTATCTGGGTCTTTGCCATCAGAAGTTGGAAAACTAGAGAATCTGAACGGACTTGATTTATCTTATAATATGATTTCTGGTGATATTCCATCCTCCATTGGCGAGTGTCAAAGCCTAGAATTTCTCAATTTGTCTGGAAACATCCTTCAGGGGACAATTCCACTGTCACTAGGAAATCTAAAGGGCCTTGTAGGGCTTGATCTTTCTCACAATAATTTGTCAGGGACCATTCCTGAGATCCTTGCCAAACTAACTGACCTTTCTATATTGAATCTCGCATTCAATAAACTCCAAGGTGGAGTCCCAAGTGATGGGGTATTTCTCAACGCAGCAACGATCTTAATCACTGGGAATGATGGTCTTTGTGGTGGTGTCCCTCAATTGGGATTGCCACCTTGCCCCACCCAGACCACCAAGAAACCACATCGAAAACTTGTCATAACAGTCTCCGTATGCAGTGCACTTGCCTGCGTCATATTAGTATTTGCATTGGTTCCACTCCGACAAAGGAGCAGCCAGAAGACAAAAGCACACCTACAAAGGTCGGTCTTGAGTGAGCAATATGTGAGGGTTTCTTATGCTGAATTGGCTAATGCGACAAATGGTTTTGCATCCGAGAACCTCATAGGAGCTGGGAGCTTTGGATCAGTTTACAAAGGAACAATGAAAATCAATGATCAGCAAATGGTGATCGCTGTTAAGGTTCTCAACCTCATGCAGCGTGGTGCATCTCAAAGTTTTGTTGCAGAATGCGAGACTTTAAGATGTTCTCGACATCGGAACCTTGTAAAGATATTGACTATCTGTTCAAGCATTGATTTTCAGGGCCATGACTTCAAGGCCCTCGTGTATGAGTTTCTACCGAATGGAAATTTGGACCAATGGCTGCACAAACATATCATCGGAGATGGTGAACAAAAGACACTAGATCTGACTGCAAGATTAAATGTTGGAATTGACGTGGCATCCTCACTTGATTACCTTCACCAACATAAGCCAACGCCAATTATTCATTGTGATCTTAAGCCAAGTAATGTTCTCCTGGACAGCTCCATGGTTGCTCGTGTGGGTGATTTTGGGCTTGCGAGGTTTCTACATCAAGATATAGGTACATCAAGTGGATGGGCATCAATGAGAGGATCAATTGGATATGCAGCTCCAGGTACCTTTCATTTGCTCTGTTCAAATATACTCCATAATGACTGGCTTCAATCAACGCTCAAGGCTTTCTTAGTGTCAACTTAGATATATATGTTGAGATCAGCAAAACTAACTTTTATAAAATTGGAAGACCTATATGTTCAATTTTTTTTGAAGATATATCTTGAAATTATAAGGAACTACTTTAATACATTCTTGTACATAGTGCTTTGGAAATGAATTTTATACAAAAAGTTTACTAGATGAGTATATCAGAATTCTTAGGATGTTATTTTTATCTAATTTGAAAGAAAATCTCATTTTGGTTTGTTTCAGAGTATGGACTGGGCAATGAAGTATCCACCTACGGTGATGTCTACAGCTATGGCATACTATTGCTGGAAATGTTTATTGGGAAAAAACCGACAGACAACGAATTTGTTGGAGCCATGGGGCTCCACAAGTATGTTCAAATGGCACTACCAGACAGAGTTTGTACTATCATGGACCAACAGCTTCGGATGGAGATAGAAGATGGGGAACCAGCCACTTCAAACTCCATGCTGAGAATTTCTTGCATCACTTCGATTCTGCAAGTTGGGATTTCCTGTTCGCAGGAGATGCCCATGGATCGTGTTTCAATTGGAGATGCTCTGAAAGAGTTGCAAGCGATTAGAGATAAGTTTCAGAAGCTCCTCTGTAGTGAAGCAGCATCATCATCCCACTGAAGGGTTCTCCAGCTGCATCCATTAGGTGGTTTGTGCATTAGAGTGAGAATGAGATCGATTTGTGTGATTGCATGATATATTTTACTACTATTTTCAGGAAGCACCAATATTCTTCCAAAAAATAAAGTTGTAGTCCTTCTCTATTGTTTGTTTGAACTAGAGCATTTGTGTGTTGATTATACCGATCTTAACAAGGCATATACCCTAAAGAGTTGGGTGCATAATTTTTTTTTTCACAAATCTTGTATGCATTTTTTTTTCTTATTACAAATCTTGTGTGCACAATTTTGTTTCACTAGTATTGTGCAAAATTTTATTCTTAAAATTTGTGCACATAATTTGGTTTTGTTTAATAAATGTTGTGACTGGGTGTGGTTGTGCCACCGCGCCCAGCTCGGCAGCTCGCCCTGCCGCTAGAGCGCCCTCGGGCATCAGGACTGCCAGAGTATATGATCTTCGGTGCAAGCTCCAAGCCCAGATGAAAGTGAGATGCCGGATGGTCGCAGCATTCAGAAGAGCAGGCCCAGAAGAAAAACAACCATTCAGATCAGCGGTTGCATCCTGCACAAGTATTGACTGTGATCGATCATCCTTCCTGGCTGCGAGTCAAAGGGATGAAGTCTTGCTACCAGAAACGCCAGGCATTTATCAATGTAGCTGCGGCCAATTGTGACGATTCCTACATATGCGCTCATAAGCGTAAAAGATTCGTTCGTTATTTCCAACCCACAAACTGAAACTGCTAGTGGTGCAATTGCTCTACGGTTGCTTGCCTGATACACTTGGTGGTGCCGTTAGTTACAGGGGAAGAGCAGAAACAGAGCAGGCTGGATCCGCAGGTGGTACGACGAAGCTGGAGAGGACGTGCACGACCTCACGCATGGTGGGCCGTGCCTGGCTGCTCTCTCGGACGCACGATATGCCCACCCTGAAGAGGCGAGCGATCAGGCCGGCCGGCTCTGGCGGCAGCCGCGGGTCAGCCACGGCCAGGACTGCCGCCGTGTCCGTGGGTCTCGGCACGACGCTCCGCCCCCAGTGGACGAGGTCGATCTCGTCGCCGAAGTCGCCGAGCGGGCGGCGCCCCGTGACGAGCTCCAGCAGCACCACGCCGAAGCTACACGTCCGTCTTCTCGTCCACCCGCAGCGTGTACGCGTACTCTGCACGCACCACTTTGTGCCTGTCACTGTATGGCGATGCAAGTGCTTATATGTCCAGCGCACGACGTTCTTACCAGGAGCGATGTACCCGTACGTGCCGGCGACGACGGACATGGACTCCTCCACCGCCACCGCCCTCGTGCCGCCGGAGCAGGACGCGCCGCGGCTGAGGAACTTGGCGAGGCCGAAGTCGGCGACGTGCGCCTCCATCGCCGAGTCCAGCAGGATGTTGTTGCACTTGACGTCGCGGTGCAGGATCCTCGGCGAGCACTCGTGGTGCAGGTAGCATAGCGCGCGCGCCGCCTCGTTGGCGATGCGGTGCCTGGCGGCCCAGCTCAGGAGGAGCCCGCCGCTGTCGCCGTGCAGGACCGCGCCCAGCGACCCCATCGGCATGTACTCGTACAGGAGCAGGTTGGCCTCCGCGCTGGACGCGAAGCCGAGCAGCCGCACGATGTTGCGGTGCCGGATGCCACCGAGCGTGGTCACCTCGGCCTGGAAGCCGTAGTCACGGCGGCCGGGGCCGGGCAGGCGCTTGACGGCCACCTCCGTGCCGTCCCGCGTCACACAGCGGTACACGGTGCCGGCACCTCCTCTTCCGATGACGTTCTCCTCCCTGAGGCACCGGAGCACGTCGTCCATTCCCAGCTCCAGGTTCTGGAACCGTGTCATCTTCCATGTCACAGGCCGCCGCTTCGCTGTCTCCCGCCACGCCCTGCGCCCCCACCTTAGTCCGAGGCACACGACCACCGCCAAGGCGCTGGCGGTTGGCACAATCCACAGCAACATCCTCGGCTTGAAACGCCGTGAACTCTGCAACGACATGGGGATGGGGCACGAAGCGGCAGTGATGTGCTCCACACAAAGGCCGTGGTTGCCTTCAAAGTCTGTCTTGTCTGAAACCGCGAACACCCCTTGAAGCTGTGGCAGCGAGACACGGCCGCTGAGGTCGTTGTAGGACACGTCCAGCTTCGAGAGGCTGATCATCTCACCGAGCTCCACCGGAAGCTCACCGGAGATTCTGTTCCTCGACAGGTACAGCACTGTCAGAACCTTCAAGCTTGTGATCTCTTTCGGTATCTCGCCGGTGAGCTGGTTGCGACTGAGGTCTATCACTATCAGCGACTCGCAGTGGTTGATCTGTCGTGGAATGCCGGCCGTGAGCGCATTGGCACTGGCGTTGAGCAAGGACAACTTCTTGAGATGGCCGATCTCCGGCGCCACGGGACCGGATAGATTGTTGGATGCAACTGACAAAAACCTTAGCCCAGCACTGGGAATCACCGTTGGGAGCTCTCCTGAGAGCAAATTGTTGCTCAGGTCCAACATGTCATTCATGGGGAGATCAAGAAGGCCAGCGGGAATGGAGCCACTGAGGAAGTTGTTGTTCAGGCGAACTCTGGCAAGGGTCTTGCAGTTACCGAGGTCTTCAGGGATTGGCCCAGAAAGCTTGTTCCGCATCAGGAAAAGAAACTGAAGCTGCCTCCCGGCGCAGAGGTAGGACGGTATGGTGCCGCTGAGCTGGTTGTCCGTGACATCCAGTTCCAGCAGCATGCCGTTCTTGCCTAGGTTGGCTGGGATCTCCCCGGTAAGGTTGTTTTGCCATGCATGGACGATTTCCAATTGAGGCAATTCCCCGACGAACTCCGGGATTACGCCATGGAGTTTGTTCCCTGTTAGACTGAGTAGTTTCAGTCTAGTTAGACTGGCGAAGCTTGCCGGTATCTCGCCGGTAAGCTGGTTGAAAGAGAGATCCAGGAGCGTGAGGTTCTTGAGACTACCGAGTTCAGCCGGGATTTCGCCGACCAAGTTGTTAGAGAATAAGTAGAGCAATTCGAGCTGAGTGAGGCGGCCGAGCTCCGGCGGGAAAGGTCCTGTGAGATTGCAGTTGCTCATTTCAAGCTGGATGAGGGCAGAAAGCTCGCCGAACTCCGGCGGGATGCCACCATGGAACGAGTTGTAGTGCCCCAGATACATCCTCTTCACTCTCCTGAGCCTCGAGAGTGACGGCGGCACAAGGCCGGAAAGCCAGTTACCGTCGAGCCCGAGGAACTCGAGCCCGTTCATGTCACCGTACTCCTCGGATATACCGCCTGAGAAGTGGTTCCAGCCAAGGTCCAGGTGCTGCATCCTTGCGTGCGACATGCCGAAAGGCGGGAGGGGACCGGTGAGGTTGTTGTCATAGACGTCGATGACCTCCACGGAGCGGAAGTACGGCGGTGCCGATCGAAACGGAAAGGAGCCGGAGACGTTGTTGATGGAGAGGTTGAGGTGGCGAAGGAGAGGCATCGAGGCGAGTGATGCGGGTATAACGCCTGACAGGGAGCACGAGGCGACGGTGAGGCTGGAGAGACCATCCAGCAGCGAGATCTCCCTTGGAAGCACGCCGCCGTGGAGAGGGACGCCGGTGAGGTTGATGGAGACTACGCGGTTGGAGGCGTCGCAGGTGATCTCGGAGAAGTTGCAATGGTTTGGCCGGGATGATATGCCGCCTGACGCCGATGTCTCGATGTCCCAGTCGGCAAGCAAAGGACTGTTGCTGGCGCTGCCAGAGAGTAGGGAGGACTTGAGCTTGGACAGAGCGTACAAGTCACTCTCCGGCGAGGTCCCCGCAGAGACGGCCGTCACGACGAGGAGTGCTAGCGCTAGGAGGCGGCGTCCTAGGCGTAGGCATGGATGGAGGTTGTGTGGCAGCGGAGCCATTGCGTGCCGCATGAGGTTAGGGATCGACCGAGGGCTGGTTGAGACTCGAGTGCATCAGTCACGTACTAATTACTCCTCGTCAACGATGAGTCATCATTAGGAGCTTTAATTACTCCCCACCTGCACTGCACTATTGCTGGAATGCCTTGTAAGTACATTCTCTCTTTTAAATTTTTATAGCTTAGTTTTTTAGTAGATTCGTTTGCACCAGCAGGCCTTGTGGTCTGAGTGGTCGTCTTATTAAACTCCTCACTCACTTCCATATTGTTTGTCTTCCGGTCTAAAGGGAATACAACTTTTGGATCACTGGAGTACGTAGCTTCCATCCACAAAAGAGACGCGTTTCCACTTTCCACTATCCATCGTAGCCTCGTAGTGGTTCCATTCGGTTTCTTTTATGACCGGAAAGTCACCTGGTCTTAGTCAATGTTAGACTTTGGATGACGGTGGTGCATGCCTCTTGCCTCATGCCTTTAGAGAAGAAAACAAGATAATCAAACACTACGATAAATCATCAATCTCAAGATATATCGGATTAGCTATCTAGAGCTGTTCATAGAGATAACTATATAAACATGTATGTATGTGATGTTATTGTAGATTTGAAATTACCACTAATAACGTGAAAAGCACTAGGCTAAACTGATACACAAACAATCATCTCCTTATAATAGAGAGTAAAGTCTGATTCACCACTTAAAGTTGTCGCTGAATTTGAAAGACTCTCTCGAACTACAATACCAAACAATATACAAACCTTAACTTTTAAATTCAGAAAAAATACCCCCTTAACCATTTTAAAATGGTTTCTTGGGTGGTTTTGCTAATGTGGCAATGGGGCAAACCTGTCATTGGCCTTCATCTTTCTTTCATATATACAAAAAGCACAACGTTTTCATATGAAGTCTTATAAATACAAACTTTATTTTAAAGTTTTAGAGCTCAACATGATCTACAACTTTGTAGTTGATAATTTTTTGTTTTAGATTAGATGCTCAAATATTCATATTAAGTTATCATATTTTAAAGACTTCTTATATTGACATAGTATATACCAAAGCTATAGTTCGCACGAAGATATACAACTTTATAGTTGATAAATTTTTTATCTGAGATCGTTTAGATGACCAAATATTCGTTTTAAGTTCTCTAACTTTTGAATTCAAATTTTTTTATTTTTCAAGCGACCTCTACTATTGATGTAGTCTACACTAAAGTTTGTAGCTCTTAATATGATCTATACTTTATAGTTCAAAACTTTATTAGAGGCTCATTTTTTTTTGTCGTTTGAATGTTTCAAAGGAATTGAATTTTAAAATTTTAGAATTTAAAATAAAAATAGGGCCTCTAAACGACCCCTAAAAATATTAGAAAAAAAACCAAATTACTCGCCTCAAGTTTGGACAATGTCTAAATAACCTGTTAAACTAACATTTCGTTCATTTTTCTTGCTGCAACTATCTCAGTTGGTCCAAATAACTCCATAAGAAGATTAGTTTTTTTTCTCTCTACATGTACAAGTTAAATTTTAATTTCAAGTTTTGTCAGGTGATAATGAACATTATAATTAATATTATAAAAAATATATCATAAATTCTTGTCAATATTTCAACACATTATGACATTAAATAAAAATAAACACTGGAAATACTAAAATGTAAAACAATATAATGATGAAAAATCTATAATGTAAATCATGCTGTCCTTTATCACCTAACAAATTTTGAGATTAAAATTCAACTTGTACATAAAGAAACAACAAAGACAAATCTTGTTAGGGGGTAAAATTCACCTAATAATTTCATTGAGGATGAACTAGAACTTGAGAAAAATTGAATAAACACGCACCGGCACTCCGGCAGGGGCGGCGAATCACTTGGCAGGGTCGCAGGGAGCCAAACAGCCAAGCAGCGGGCACTGGGTGGCCACGGGCGAATGGCCACGGCTACAACGTCGATGGGACCTGGGAGCCTGGCTGCCTGGGACGGGCGCCACAATGGACAGACGGCGGGTCGGCAGCGACGGAACGGCAGCAGCCAGCTGCCAGCAGGAGCGCCGGCACGGCAGGCTGGCAGCGGCTCGTATTCGTAATTTCCTATTGGCGAGCGCGAGGGCAAGGGCAGGCGATGCGTCGCTCCTCGCGTGGTGGCTCGTGCAGTCGTCGTGCGGAAGCGGAAGGAACAACGAGTCAAGTAGTCGTCAAAGCCTGAAGGAAGTGGCGCAGTGGGCTTCAAGGCTTGGTGGGGGTGCCTCGTATTGGGCCGTGGGGTGCCTACAGGGCCGAATTTTTCCACTCCTTAAGAATTTCTAGACTTTGGGGGGTGCTTGGCCACCCACGGCAAGCTATTGGGCTTGGCCCTTGCATAGGGATATAATTAGCGTACGTGTGTTCATAGGGGTGATTGTGCGTGCATGTTGTGGACGTCAACGTTCAACTGTGTAGTTCAAAAAAATAAAAAGTCAAGAAGGCGAATCTACATGTGGTACGGCGAAGCTGGAGAGGATGCGCATTCTCGCGGACGCACGATATGCCCGCCCTGAAGAGGCGAGCCATCAGTCCGGCCGGCTCTGGCGGTTGGTCAGCCACGGCCAGGACTGCCGCCGTGTCCCTGTTAGAATAAACCAGTAGTATAGGGCGCGCGACGCGCCCCATCGCGCGCGTACGTGGACACAGGAAAGACTTTAAAGATGGAGAAAATGTGCTAGATATATAGACTGCAATATAAGTAATAAGGTAGGTAGATATACATATATTCAGGATGTGCATATTACGTATGTTGTTCAAGGCTGCAAAGAGGATGGTGCATAGGCATATACTATATGTGCTGGTACACGCTTTATACATTCGATGGTCTTTATATTACATTAGGTAGAACTGCATAGTTACTGATGGCTTGATGCTGCTCTGTTAGTATTTTGGTTCACGATCAAAAAGGTCGCTGGTGAATGAGGCTGTGCTTTGGCTCCTAGGAAACTGAACCTTGGAATCCCAAAGCGTAGATCGTTGCAAGCTTGCACCCTGCAGTGAATAAAAAGCATGCCAATTAAGAAGCAGGAATTGTGTCGATAATACGTATGAAACAACAAGGTAACAGAAGACATACGGGTTAGGGAAAAGGGAAGCAGTAGCAGAGCAAGTGGTCTGGAGATAAATCAAGCTGACAAACAATGCAGCGCCAGACCCAGATGGAAACAGACAGGGAAGAAAGAAGAACAAATCCCTAAATCTAGAAGCGACAAATCACTGCAACGGCCCTGAACTTGTCCTAGGATGCAATCAAAACCAACTGTAGCAGTTCAAAAATTAGATTTAGTAGGACAACTGGTGGACATGGAAAAATGAAGCCACAAAATATGATTCCATCTTGCAAATCAGGAAGATCGGTAAAACGAAGCACTAAAATATGAAACCAAAACCCATATGAAAGCAGTCCATTAATCGATACTGCAGAAAGGTACATTACCTTTATTGGCTTCGTTCGCTGGTCTGAAACTTGGCTGAAACTGGCTGAAAAACACTGTTCCGGCTGAAAAAAGAAGCTGAACAAGCCATTTTTAAGACAAACGAACAAGCCAATTATAACCAGAGAAGAACGAACACATCAGTATCAGTGTCCACACCTAGAGACTGCAACGGATAAAATTAAATTCAATCAAATTAGGCTTTCTACCAAAAAAAAAACAGTAACCATGCAAATTAACAAAGAATTTGATAAATCTCACGTCAAAACATTCCCATGGACACCAAAATAGGAAGTATGAGGTGAACCAATCCGGAATATAAGGATCCACACACTGACCTGTAGCGCATGGCATATATATTCAGTTCAAATTTTGAGAGAAAACATACAGACACCAGCACATGTAGCGCCAACTCTGAACATGGATATCGAGTTACCAAATTTTGTAAGAATAACCATTGCAAATCACATGAGCCTATAGCAAGGACCCTCACCATGGATCTAATGCTTGGCGGCCATATTAGCCGTACAAAGAAACGTTTTTTCATATAAAATACAGGCAGTAAGGCGCGGGTCTAGCCTAAATTGATAAGGCGATCGCTTCTTTAAAAGGCACCATAGGCAGTAAGGCAGGATACTATATCCTAAGCTGATCGCTTTTTAGAAGCAACTATTAGAATAGGCGAAAGCAAAAGACCATACAAAGCACTCTCAACTGGTTCCTGAGATGTACAAACTGGAAAGACCATCTGAAAAATAAATATTAGCTACATGTATGAGCACAGAAAAAAGGTGATCAAAAGAGAGAACCGAGCCCAAGCAGCCATGGCAAATATAGCATATCTGAAATCGAAAATAAGAAACAGTAGGCCGAAAATAAGGTTCTCACCAAAACAGGAGACCGTCTCTAAACACTGCTTGCTCAGTGAATCGCTGTGAAATACCGCCTTTTGACTTCACCGCAAGGAGCAAAGAAATTAGTGGTGGAACTGATTGGACAGGGACGCTGCAATTAAAATTGGGCTAGCATTGTTTAAGGGCCTGTAATTTCGATCGTGGAGCCAACAAGCTAACAACCAGTCACTCCAATACATAGGGAACGTTAGTAATACAGGTAACATAATTATGGCCAGGTTTTGTCAACCAATATACAGGCCATCTAGAGCCGGTAGCTATTAACTGTGGTGACCAGAAGATAGCTGAAAATTATTAATTATATATTTTAAACTTATGGTAAGCTTGAGCTGTCTATGTAAGGAGGCTATGATCCTACCTTCTATGTAGACCATAGTGCACAAGGTTAAAGTGTTTAGAGGTTTATTGAAGCTGGTATACCGCCCGGGGATAAAGCGGTAAGGTTACAACAAAATTTGGGAGAGCTGATTTTTTTTCACGTCAGACTGAACAATGGAATCCCTCTGCTTTGTCTTGGAAAAGTAACCACACAGTGATACAGGAAGTGTAAAAACATGATGAGACCTCAGTCAGATGGTATGGAAACTAAAATGATCCAGGGAAAATTAATTAATACTGAGGCTG